TTTTTTCCTATTTTTTAACCACATATTCTCTTAAAAATCACTATTCAAAACTCTTTTTTCGACAATAATAATTATCTAGCATGATCTTAATTTGTGTGGGATCCACCTTGTATGAATTTTTGTGTAGGACCCATGACCTATAAGCCCCGGGCTTATTTGACAAACATACCCTAAATAACAAATAAATCTTAAAACTTAAAGAATTTAAGAACACGAAAAAAAGTTCCTTTCATTTGATAATTCAAACCATCTGTACTTATGTACACTAAATACATCAATCTGTATCCATTTGTTGAGCTGGCAAATCATCAATCCCAGTTTCAGAACCCGGATTCTCATCCCCCGATTCCCCGTCACCCTGACCCGACTCCGTATTAAGATCCGAATCCGCATCCTCCTCCCTCGTCTCACTGCCGCGTGCTAGAAACACGTGAATTCTCAGTCCGCCGCCTCCTCTCCTTAATTCATCCTCACCAGATTCACCTTCCTTCTTATCCTCCACCGGCATCTTGTACCGACAAACCGGGCATGATCCATGTAGCCCTAACCATTTATCGATACAACCTGAATGAAATTTATGCTTGCAAGGCATCTCTTTGACTTCTCCGTCGACCTCGAACTCCTCCAAGCAAATCGAGCACTCCAAATCCGGTTCAGTCACTTTCACAACCGGCAAAGACTCTATTGAAGCCTTTGATGCGGGTAAAGGTCCTTCTTTGGACGGGATTTCGCGGAGGATCGACTCAACGTCGACGGAGCCTTCAATCAGGGTTACGGAGCCCCTGGCTTGGTTTACAAACACCGCGATTTCCCGGGTGGCGGAGGTGTTGGAGGCGGCGGTGGCCAGGCGGATGATCCGAGGGAGGAGTAAGGCGGTGGCGCCGGCTCTACTGCTTAGATCTTCGATGAAATCTATGTCGAGTGATTCCGATTCCGACTCCACATGTGATTCTGATGAATCCATTCTAGTTTTCCTTTCTTTATGAATTTTTTTTTTTATTTTTTATTTTTTTTGGACGAAATTATTGTGGAAGAAAGGGAGAAAAAGCAGTTCTTGAAGTGATGCGTATATATGTGGACAAAGGGTCTGGGCAATGGAAGGATCTAGAATACCTCAACGGGTTTTATTAAAGGTTAAATTATGACAAGGCCATGTGGCTGTGGGTGGAATTTGATATTTTTGCAATTAGGGGTTTTGTTATACTTTAGCAAAATAATTAATTATTAAGTCCTTATTTGAGTCTCATTCTTTTAAGAATTCGTTTTTTTTCAAAATTTATTTTTAACAATATATTTTTCAATAAAAATAATATTACATGTAATTTTAAAACTTTTTCTTAATTTTTAATCATACATCCTCTATCAATCTACTATTTAAAATGTATTCATTCTTAAAAAATGGGGCTAAATGCATATTTAATTAAGCCCTTGTTTGATTCCCATTTTAAGGGAAATAATGCAGTTTGAATAATAAATTGATGGATAATGTGTGATAAAAAATTTTAAAAAAATTAGATTTATGTGTAATATTATTTTATTGAAAAATGTGTAGTTGAAAATGGGTTTTGAAAAAAATGAATTTTTAGAATAATAGGAATCAAACGAGGGTTAAGTAATCAGATGTTATGATAGACTACGAGTTCGTTTAATTGTCAATATTGTTCATCCAAAATTTTACTTTTGTGCTATTCGTTTAATATTTTTTCATGAAAAATATTTTCTTATTTTTGGTCATATGACCATATTTTTTTTTAAACAATAAAAATATTTTCTTTTGGGAAGTGGGCTTTTATTTCATAGGTAATTTGGCCTCTTTTTCTCTTTTATATATCCACTCTTTCTCATCTATCCACCAATTAAAAATGGACATGTATAACTTTTTTTTAGGTTAAAAATAAAATTAATCAAAAATATTTAATTAACAATTTTCATGTAAATAATTTCTCAGCAATTAAATTGTTTAAAATTTATTTTCCTTACATGTTATCAATCAAAACACATCGTAATTTTATTAAGGCTTTGATCGATAAGGATTTTGAGAATTAATTTTTTGACCTATAGGAGAAAGGGGGGGCCACCCGTAAAAGAAAAAGTCAAAACTTACGACTGAAATAGTGAAATAACAATCAAAAAATCAATTTTTTGGAGGTGGAAATCACTCTCAAACACCCCCTAAGTGGGATTCCTCGTACACACCTTGTCCCAAAATTGCACATTGCTTCGTCGGGATGGTGCGCTGTGGGGTTCAAATTTTTTTTTTTATTCAAATTTTCATTTCCAGCTCCTTGACTTTATCCATTTCGTCGCGAGAGTAAATTGGTAGCCCTTAAGAGAGATTTTGGGGTGAAGTTCATATAAAAGACCACACACTATACAAAAAAGTTGGTTACCTTCTTTTTTTTTTTTTTTCCACCTAGGGAAACCTCCATTTAGAATAATGCTAGGTGTATACCCTGACTGATAATCCTCTAAAGATGTACATTTAACATTTTTCCTCCATTTATGCAGATATTAGGCTACCGCAAAAAAAAAATGGTTACGGAAACATGGGACTAGTGTCCTAGGGTTTCTAGATTTCTTATAAGAATGGAGGAGGATCAGAAAGTTAATGTTAGGCCCGATGACACACTTCAAATAACACTAATCTCTTATCTGTGATCATACTTAGAGTTGTTGATCACTCAACGGCCTTTCATCAAGCCTTCAGGAGCACTACCTCCCATGACTTCCTCGATTAATAAATGTGTCAATATATGCCCACATACTCCAAGGTTGATCGATGAGATCTCTATTATTTGTACTAGAGTGATCAAAAAAATAAAAAAAA